CTTTTCCCCAAGCTACTCTCACTAAAGGAATTCCTTTTCCTCTTAAATGTTTCATCTTGTGATCCTCGATCCTTATCGGCATCGCCTACACGGTAAGATTATCCAGAATCTACACGTCATCCCTCTGAAGAACATGAGATGGATCAGGAAAGTACTTTCAAAGTTGCGACATGTGAAACACATCATGCAAATTCAAAAGTTCGGGTGCAGAGCCACTCTATATGCAACAACTCCAACTCTATGCAAAATCTGATACGGTCCAATGAACTTAGGATCCAGCTTCTTCGATTTTAGTGCATGACCAACACCAGTCACAGGATTGACCCTTAGAAGTACATGGTCACCCTCGCTGAATTCCAAGTCTTTCCTCCTATTATCATAATAGATTTTCTGTCTAATCTAGGATGATTTCATATTTTCCTTGATCATCTGGATTATCTCAGTAGTCTGTTGTATAATCTCGGGTTCAAGTATAATGCTCTTACCCGACTCATACCAGCATAGAGGTGTTATACACCTCCTACCATACAACGCTTCAAACGGCGCCACTCCGATACTAGAATGGTAACTTTTTTTGTATGTAAATTCAATCAACGATAAATGAGTATCCCAAAAACATCCCTTCTCGAGTATACAAGCCCTCAATAAGTATTCCAATGACTAAATAGTCATCTCAGATTGTCCATCTGTCTGAGAATGATAAGTATACCTCAACTTCAAACTAGAACCCAAAGTATTCTGCAAGATCTTCCAAAATCCAGAAGTAAACATCGGGTCTCTGTCAGAAACTATGCTTGATGGAACCCCGTGTAACTTCACTATTATCCTGATATAAATCTCTGCTAACTTAGACAAAGGAAAACTGATGTTAACCGGTATAAAATGTGTCAATTTTGTCAGTCTATCTACAATTACCCAAATAGCATCAAAGCCTCTCGCCGTATTCAGTAACCCAGTCGCAAATTCCATCGTGATACTATCCCATTTCCACTCTGGTATTTCCATTGGTTGCACCAAACTGGGAGGTTTTTAATGTTCCACTTTCGACTTCTGGCAAGTCAGACAAGCATACACAAATCGAGCTACATCTTTCTTCATACCTGGCCACCAAAACAAATTCTTAAGGTCCTGATACATTTTCATAGCTCCTGGATGAATACTCAAGCTACTCTTGTGGCTCTCCTCCAAGATCATTTTCCTCAGCTCAGGATTATCATGCACACAAATTATACCCCGAAATCTTAACACACCAAAATCATCTTCCTTAAAGTCACCATCTATATCCAACCCGCCTGTGGTCATCAAATCCACCAGCTTAAAATCAAGTTTCTGACTCTCTCTAACTTCATTAAGGAAGTCATTATTAACCTTCAACATACCTAACATCATGCTCTCAGGAGTCAACTCACAAACCATACTCAAGTCTCTAAACTTTTCAATTAAGTCCAACTCCTTAATCATTAATGTCGACATGTGAATCGTTTTACGACTTAAAGCATCCGCCATGACATTAGCTTTACCTGGATGGTAACTCAAGCTAAGTAGGCATGGAAGATACGATTCATGTACTCCATGAATATCCTCGACGCATTGGACACTCCGAACGCCATCACAATATATTCATAATGTCCATACCAAGTCCTGCAATCCGTTTTTTGTAGGCATCCTCTTTCACTCGAATCTGATGATAACCTGATCTCAAATCAATCTTACTAAAAACACGAGCTCCCACCAGTTGGTCTATTAGATAATCAATTCTTAGAAGCAGAATTTTTTTATGGTCACTTTATTCAGCTAACGATAATCAATACACAATTGCATACTACCATCCTTCTTATTAACCAACAACACTGGAGCTCCCCACAGTGACACGCTGGGTCTAATAAACTTCTTATTGAGCAACTCTCCTAGTTGAGATTTCAACTCTGCCAATTCGGATGTTGACATTCTGTATGGTGGCATTGATATAGGTCTGATACCAGGGACAAGATCAATTGCAAATTCTACCTCTCTCTATGGAGGAAACTCTAAAATATCACCCGAGAAAACTTCTAGAAGCTCTCTCACTACATGTAAGTCATTGATCAACGCCTTGCCCTCAATTGACAATGAAGCAAACACCGCGAACATTTTAACTTCATCTTCCAAAAATATTCTCAATTCTTTGGTAGATATAAAATTAGTCAACTCTTCCTACTTTGGAGTAAGAAATAACAACCTCTTCCTATAACAGGCAATATAGACATAATTGCTCTTTAGCCAGTTCATTCCTAAAATAACATCTAGATCACTGAGTGGTAAGCAAATCAAATCCACTTCGAATTCGTTACCAAAGATTGACACAGGAAAATTCAAGCATACTAGAAACGTAGTTATCGAACTAATAGATTGAGTATCAATCACCATTCCCTTACTCAAAGTAGACGATACAAGTCCTAGTTTCTTCACACAATCAACAGAAATAAACGAGTGGGTCGCACCCGTATCATTGATAGAAATCAAAGGAATACTATGGATATAATAAGTACATATGACCAAACGATCCTCATTGGTAGGTTGAGCCCCCACCAATGCAAATACCATTCCAACAGTCTGCGACTTCTGCGGCTTCAGACAATGATGTTGTTGTGACCCTGTTCACCACAGTTGTAACAGGTAGGTATATTGGCCCTACAATCTGCTACAACATGACATGGATTCTCGCATTTGAAACATTTGTTCACCTCATTCTGACATTCATTAGCACGGTGACCCATGCCACCACATCTGAAACATTTGATAGGGTTGGAAGAATTTCCTCCCCCACTTAGCTTCATATCAGCAACAACCTTCTGCTTCCCTTTATCGGTAGGAGCACTATAAGGTGTACCCCCGTGCCTCTGCTTTCCTCTTTTGTCACTCAGGGTCTTGTAGTGAGCTACCCGATCCATGTTATCTTCATCATAAATCCTGCACCTATTCACCAACTCAGAGAAGTATCTAATTTTCTGATAGTCGATGCGTTGTTTGATCTTAAGACGCAACACGTTCTCAAACTTGATATATTTCGTACTCATAGCAGCACCAGTATTGTAATAAGGACAATACTTCACCAGTTCCTAGAATTTGGCTGTATATTATGTGATTGTCGAGGTTCCCTGCTTCAATTCCAAGAATTTGATCTCCTTTTTCCCACTAACAATTTTTTGGAAAATACCGTTCCAGAAACTCAGCTCTGAACACCGTCTAAATGATAAGACTATCAGCAGTTTCCAACCTTTGACAGGTGTTATCCCACCAATCTCCAGCTTCCTTAGTCAACATATGAGTGCCAAACTGCACCTTCTAAGCTTAGATGCATCCCATGACTATGAAGATCTTTGAAATGTCAAGGTTCAGAGTCTTGTTATGCAAAGTTTTATATTGTAGTATGGTAGTCTTTGTTATAGGAGTTTAACACTAGAGAGCATTGAACATTGGGTAAAGAGCAACACAAGTGAGAGAGACACGACATATTCACCCAAAATCTTAAGGTGATAGGTGTATGAGTTCTTCCACTTATAAATGCTCAACTATCCACATTTATAATCAACGTGAGACTCCAACTCACACTTGACTTTATTATTCTCAACACTCCCTCTCAAATGTGAGTCCACAATACCTCGTCTCAAGTGGAATCTCTTTTGTCCATATACTCTTGTACCGCCGTTAACACCTATTACTAGGCACCTCTTACCAGACATTTCGATACACCTCTTTCCTGGGCATTTCGATTTCAATAGGACACCTCTTCCTGCACATTTGATACAAGTAAGCATGTCCCTTTACTCAAACCAAAGGCTCATGATACCCATTGTTTTAGGAGTTTAACACTAGGAAGCATTGAACATTGAGTCAAGAGCAACACAAGTGAGAGAGACACCACATATTCACCCAAAACCTTAAGGTTTTAGGTGAGTATGTGGTGTGTTTCTCACAAAGGTGTTGCTCAAGAAAGGAAGTTCCAAAATGTTCAATGCTCCCTAATAGAAAAAATCTCCCCTAACAGTATTCTTCTTCAGGACTTCTGCTCCTTAAACAGAGTGGAAGAAAAGAGACGATGAATAATTTCACCAAAAGGTTGGCCTAACTTTGTACTTGATTGGACAATCAAAAAAGCACCTTTCTGTAAGAGAAATTATTCATTGAAGTTCAGACAACAAAGAAGATGTTTTTCCTTAAGTTTTCACGTGATAAAAAAGTCTATGAGTCTGTCAGAGTTAACTCGATTAAAGAGAATATGTTTCAGAGGTTAACTTTCATCAGAGCTCACTCTTCAGAGGCTGATCACTTCAGAGTCTGCTTCTTGACTTCTGAAGCCTCAAAGTCTGGATCATTAGAGGCCAACTTTTTTCAGAGTTGACTTCTTCAGAGTCTGGATCTTCCATTAGAGATAGAGTCTTCAAAAGTGATTTTTAGAGTCAGAGTCTGAACTTTAGATGAACATTTATTTACACTTAAAAATAATGGTGATGATAACATGTGTCCTACATGCACAAGTTAATAAATTCACTTAGAATGTTTGTATTGAAAAAAAAAATAAAAAAAATATTAATTCTATAAATTTATCAAAATTAATGTATAATTTCCAAGACAAATTCTTTTATTATCATAACACAAGATAGTATTATCGGAAAAGTAATTAATGTGTGAGCTGAAATTAACATGCATATGATTTTAGGATTATTGAAATGTTTCTCAGGTGAAGCACAATAAGAAGAATGTAAGCATAGCCGAACACGAGTCAAGTGACTCTTTCTCAAGCCTAAAGTCATGAGCAGGATATCCAACCTAAGTTACATAATTGTAAACCTGATGCCAATGCAAGTCACATATGCTTCAATGACATCAATGATACCATATAATAGATTCACATGAAATCAAAATCTATTGGACTACAAAACTATTTGGATATAATGTACAATTGGAAAGAGTGTAGATAAATGAAACGTAGCTATCAACTCTAGCAATATATATTATTGTCACTTGTTAGCTTCAAGCCAATCAAGAATACCCTTTTCTGCTTCTGAAATTTTCCCATCTTTTCCTTTCAAACTCCCTTCTATGAATTCAAAATAATCCTTGTAGTTACGTTTGTAATAACTATCCACTCTCTGCAACACAACACAAACCTTCATTATATCAAATGGAATACTATTATGACATACTATACACACCACTTACCTCTTTGTCATTTTTCTCCTTGTTTTCCTCTGATTTCTTCAAATATTCTGATAAACAATTGCATTACTAAATTTACGTCACTGTTTTGAATAATCAATTAGACAAAAGAAGCACAAAGAATAGTGTTATGAGTAGATATATATACTTTGAAGAAGCTGAGTTCTTGACTCGGGGATTTGAGCTGCGGCAACAACAGCTGATAAGACGAGTCCTCTCCTTCCAAATCCTACGTTGGTGCTGGTTAAGATTTGGTTTGGTTGTTTTTTATGAACTGCCTGTATGTTGGATGATGCATACTTGTTTACTGTAACTGTTAGTGCCATTAACATGGTTTGTCCTATGGAACTCATTGCATATACTATTCTATCTATGTATCTGAACTTTACTTTGTTTTCTTTTGTTTTGTTACAACCATAACTTATCTTGAATGGATAATAAATATGTGGTAGCCTAGTACATTGTGTTCCGTGTGTATATAGGGACAAAAACTCTAAGCAATGGACATGTTATAGCTACTTTAAATAATAATAATAATAATAATAATAATAATAATAATAATAATAATAATGGACATCAAGAGTAACACCTTTTGGGTTCTGAAATCAATATTGAAAATGAGGCCCATTGTTGTTGTGTTAAATTACTGAAATTTCTGTATGCAGGTGAATATTTTCAAGACTGATAGGATTTATGTTGAACTTAATGATTCCCATCAAGTTATGGAATGGAGGACAATCTTTTACAATAATCAAGCTAGACCTAGATTTCAATTTACATAATGGCTTGCCTGTCATAGAAGAATGGCTACCAAAGACAGACTCACCAGATTTGAGCCTTTCATTTGGGACAATTGTTGCTTTTGCAATGAAGTTAAAAGTGTGGATCATCTGTTTTTTCAATGTAGCATCGTGCGCAACATATGGATGAATATCTTAGATTGGTTGTAGATTCATCACAGCCCTGGCAGTTGGGACACAGAGCTCAAGTGGGTCATTGAGATAAGCAAAGCTAAAAGTCCAAAGTGCCAAAGTCAGTGCAAGATGTTGGATCGAACTCTAGTGTTGTCGAAGTATGTTCACAAGTAATGCGTATTGTAGTCGAAGTTTGTTCTAACATGCATTAGTCAATATTGCTAGGGTTGTTAGCATGTTGAATTGGGTCTTGCTTGTAAGCCCAATTGTTTAAGTTAACTTGTACTCTAAGTTAGCTTGTAATGAGTAATTGTTAAAAATCCCATTAGGTTAGTGTGCTATTTTATTATAAATAGGATGCTAGTTTCTCAATCTTGACATAAGGAAAAATAGGAAGATAAAATCCTAATTTCAAGGGAGAGAGGTTATTTTGTTATTCTTGTATACTTGTAATCTTGTTCTAAGAGAAAGGAAAGAATATCAGTTTAATAACCAATCCTTGTTGTTTTCTTCTTTATTAACCCTAACCCTTGTGTGTTTCTTGATAAGAAACCGTTTATACTTTGTTTAAAGGTATCCGATTCACAACAGTCTGAAATGTGTCTTGACTGAAACAATTTATGAACTTTGGAGAATTAAATGTGATCATTTCTTTGGAGTTAATAGTAGATGGCAGTATGTTGGTCCCAAGATTATTGATATCATTATCAATAAGTGTTGGATGAAAATCAAGCTGAGGAAAACTATAGGTACTTTATTATTGTCTTAGGTTGTTTCTTGTTGTAGTGCCTTTGTCTCCTTGTTAGCTGGAATTCGTTTTGAGATCGCTTGTGTGTAATCATTTTTTTGCTTAATAAAGTAATTTTATTCCAAAATAAATAAATAATAATAATAATAATAATAATATGACATGTGGGAGAGGAAGAGGTCGAGGGAAGCCACATCGGAAGGTGCCTTCGTCAACAGAAAATCCTACAATGGTCGTTAAGGAGAAGGGTGATGCAGGTTGTGTAGTACAAACAAAGGTTGTGGAATTGAATGAATCTCAAGATGATGTGAGTCTATCTGAAGAGGATGAAGAGAATGTACTACATCAAGAAACCCTAGGTGAATCTTCTACAACTCGAATTGAAGCCAGCCAAGAGAAGAAAAAGCTATGGGTGGATGATATAAACGAAAATCGGAACCCTGCGAAGGGGTTAACTATGGAATTTGTGGCATCGACGGTGATAGATGGCGAAATCTAAATTGAGATTGAAGCAACTGATATTGAATCGCAAGTGAAATTTTGGGAAACCGCTATCATCATGTCTGTATTAGGTGATGATCTGAGTATGAATGTGGTTAAGCAATTTATGTTGAAGCAATGGAATTTTTGAAACTACCGTATATGTTCTATATTGATGAGGGGTATTTCATCCCGAGATTCCACTCCTTCCATGATAAGGATTCACTGCTAATGAAGGGGCCCTTATACAATCCACAACAGATCAACGTTGTTAGAACAAGATTTGTTCATGACATATTCTCTTTTAGTTTTGATGATAACAAAAGTATTAAAAGAACAATGATTTATTTAATGTGTGTTTTATTTAGCAGGTTCTACTTTAATGTATATAAATAATCAGAATCTGTGTTATATTAACACACTTGAGAGTTGCTTCATTGCTAGCTTCTGGTGGCAGAGTATGAAGAACAACTGCTAGTGTGGCATGACACAGACTCTGAGCTGAAGGCCTCAACATTCAGATGAGTTACTACAGTTGGTAATTGTATATCGACATCTGGTACCATTCAAAGTTGGTGATAAAGTTGTGGTTGTCTGTATTGCAGAAAGTAAGTTGTATTGTCTTATCAGCTTGTCATCTAGAGTCTACAAGATTGCAAGGCTCAAGAAAGGTTGGCGTGCTCTATGGATATCTGCTCTCAACGAATCTATCAGTATAAAATCTCTTAAAGACTCAAAGGTTAAATGTGTTATAATCTGGATTCAGAATCTGTTGTGTATCCATCTTCAAAGTCTCTTGTACTATGGGGCAAAGGAAAATACACTTGATCAAGTTACCTCTTCAACGACTATTTTCAGCAAAGGCTATAAATATGGCTGAAGATTCAAGTTTGAATCTTAAAAAGGATTCTTAAGATAAAGGAGTAGCAAGATCAAACAATTATCAACTCTATTGTAATATGCAGATTTTATGTTGTAGGTTGTAATTGTAAAAGCATTAAGATTTCTTACCATTGAATATCTTAGAAATCTTAATATTTTTAGGTCTTTGTTATGGTGATTTCTCGTACCTCTGATGCTTGTATCATGTACACCTTGTTCTCTATTCTAATGAGCCTTCAGTAGTTTAGATCAAGTCTCTTGCGATGTGCTTGAGCAGAAGTCTTGTCTCATTGGGATTCAAGCAACAAGTCTTAAGTCAAGATGCTTAAGCCATGTCAGTCTCATTGCTTAAGTGCTTGAGTTGTGAAAGTTTTGTTCAGCTAGTCTGATTGAGCAAGGTTAAGATTTCGTCTGAGGCGCATGAGCAAGAAAGTCTCAAGTGTTGTTTGAGCAAGAAAGTCTCAGTATGGATGGCTAGAAGAGAAGGTGGCTCGGTCAAAGGGCATGAGCAAAAAGTCTTAGACGTGTGCTCTAAGCAAGGGTAAGTCTTAACTAGAGGATCTTTGTAGCAGTTTTCTCGATCAGAGGGTGTGAGCAAGGAAAGTCTTAGACATGTGCTCTAAGCAAGGAAGTCTCAGATAGTTGATCTGAGCAAATGTAAAAGACTTATATAAGAGCATAAACGATTGTAATCATGAAGTGGTTATAATGAAAATCTCTTCTGAGGCAAGGGGATTGGAGTACTCTCAGTTAGGGGAGGAATCATGATAAATCTTTTTTGTCTTCTGATGTTATTTATTTACTTCTGCTATATCCGCTGCTAATGAATTAAAATAGAATCTGAACATCAGTTCTGATTCTGAAACTCTGATAAGAAGTTAAATTAAAGAAAATGCGAAACACAGTTCAATCCCCCTACTTGTGTACTTTTCACACCTTCAATTGGTATCAAAGCATGGTCTATGCTTAAAACTTAATAGTGGTACAAGATGTTTACAGTTATTTTGTTGGTTACATCTTGAATATGTTGTATTCTGAAGGCTTGTCTTGCAGTTTTCAAAGGAAAGAAATGAATTTAGATGATGAAAAACTATTCAATAGACCACCTTATCAATTTAGCTCAAGTTCCTTAGAATGACTAACAATAAGAAACTTAGGTTTCTTGTCATAAGAACTTCCATACTGGTTAAATAGATTGTGATATTTGTTGATAGAAGAGTAACTTCAGAAGCTTATGAAATACTTGTATTTCAACTGATTTTCCAGATCTGAAAGCAAAAAGAAACACTACCAGAACCTAATATCAGATGCTCTTCAACGTCTAAACTTTTAAAGCTAATATTAGTGCAGGATGCAGATGAAAAGAAAAATTCGTGTTCGAAAATAAAAACCAAGTATTGAAAAGTAAGAGACGGTGTCAAGTCTATCTTGCTTCAAAATATTTGATAATATGGAGTCTGTTCTTTAAGGTGATATCTTAACAGAATACATTGCATCTTGATTGAGGATCATCATGGAACTTGTATTAAAAGACATTTTTATAAGAAGTCTCCAATTTCTCTTTGAGTTCTGTCAACTGTACTAAGACAGTACTTTGGTTTACTTTGTGTCAATTTCTGATAGTTAACACCATCTGGTTTTGAGCTTGTCATTAATTTCAAAATCAAAAGATTTAATCTTACACAATTAAATTAGTGACTCTGCTTAGAATAAGATTATGTTTGTATCATATCTCATTCTAAACTTATACTCTGGAGTGGTTTAGGATTTTATTATCAGGGAGAGGTATAAGGTAAAGAATAGTCTGTTTGTACTTCCATGTGCGGTCTTATAGAAATATGAGTATCATAATGTATCTGCTACAGATTTTAAGGAAAGGAGCAGATGCATCTTCCATAAGGTTGTTTACCATATTTATTGAAGGAAGAGCCAACAACCCAGGTTTAAGTACTGGTGGTACTGAGTTTGGTGAGAGTATGGAAGTCAGTGGTTAAACAGCCATTGAATCAGAATTCACTCAAAGTGGTGTTCATACTCTATTAGTCAAGTATGAATACTAAATCGAATATGACCAAGAAAAACAAAAAAAAGGCATGCTTGTTCTTTTCTAGTTTATCTTTTGATTCAATGAAACATTTGTATAGATATAAATACAAAGTTTCTGTTAGACTTATAGAGAAGTTCTTTAAACAAAAGAGAACTTCAGAGATCTTTAAGAGGAAACTTTGTTGTATTTGTTTATACTAAACGTCTTATTAAGCCAGATGATGATCATATTTATTGAAACAGTTTTCTCACTTTTTGATTTAATATTGTTGCTTGTTAGCTGTCTAAAGAAGACAATTCAATATTCATCTATCACTCATGACTCTTGTTTCAAGATAAAGTGGTAGTTCTAAATAGAATCTTAGAGACTTATAACTGCCAGATGATATCCATGTCTAAGTCTAGATCTACTAGACTCTGATGGATGATAGCTTCTGAAAGTTGTCAGACTCTGGGATTCAGAAGAAGATTCTTTACTTCTGATATAGCAGTTTAAGTAAAAAGTTTTTCCAAAAACTTTTATAATACTTAAATTTTCATAAAGGTGAAACTCATCTAGTGGAATTGAAATATTTGTTGGATGAAAAACCTTTGAGTAATGATGTTCTCTCCTTTGACACTTACTGCTACTATTCTCTGTCTTGTAAAACATCATTGTGTCCTTTTTCTGACAAGATTCTTATTCTTGTATGATTCTTGTTCAGTTCTTCTTATTCTTTTTCTTCTTCTTCTTCTTCTTCTTCTTCTTCTTCTTCTTTTCTTGTTTGCGTGCTGATTAAACCAAACTTGAGATGAGTTCCTCAGTTCATTCTTCTTTGAATCAGCTGGTTGCCATCAATGAAACGTTTGTGGATTTTTATGAGTTGCTTCATATTGGTTTCAACTTCTGGAAGACTGTGTCTAAACAAGGTTGGAATGGCTACTTTGAGATGCTCTGTGGTTTCACTTATCCAAGTTTTGTCAAATAGTTTTGGATTAATGTCGCCATTATTGAGTTGAATTTTGAGTATGTTATTATGTCTAGAGTAACTGGTGTTTCTATTACAGTAACCTCTAAAGCGATTGCAAATGTGATCAATTGTGAGGGGATTGGAGAAATCCCAGGAACTCTTGTTTGGGTATACTATCTTCCTACTTGGCGTATCTTTGTAGATCCAAATAATACATCAGAGGTCTTAAATCTTCTTTCTGATGTTGTTGTTTAGAATCAGATTCTGAATTCAAACTTACTTTCTAAGGGTAAGGATTTAGACCAAGTGGACCCTATTGAAAAAGATCTGCTTCTACTTCTTAATCCAGATTCGAAGATTGATCTTCCTGAAGTTATGTTTGACCATATAAAGAGGTCTCTTTCTTATTTTTAAAAGGGAAAGACCTTCTCCATTCTTTATGAACGAGTTATTTATGAAACACTTGTTCAGCAGGGGGTTAACATAAGTTCTGAGGCTAGTTCTTCTAAGATTTGGAGAGACAAGTTTGAACCTATCTATGAAAGATTCTGATGTTTAATTTATGCATAGTTATGATTTGTATTTTGTTGAAATCTTTATATTAAGCTTCTTATTAATAAATTCAAAATTTATCCATGCTTGTGTTCAATTTAAACTGTTGAATATTAATTTTGTGTTGTTTATGAGAATCTAAAAGTAATAGGAGAAAAAACTCAATGTATGCAACTTGTTTCATTAATATAAAGGAAGCTATTACAAGACAATTATATTTCCTAGTTTGTTGGATTGGACCTAAGGAATTCCTTAGGATCATCTGACATGTCCAGATTATCTAAGAAATCTTGTCATTCTTCCTTATCAAACTCCAAAGCCTCCTTTTTCAGTTGGCTTCTACGACTGGATCCAGAAGATCTTCTTCTTCTGTGTTTCTTCACAAAGGATACTGAAGAGGAGAGCACTTTTGAAGCTGTTTACTTGCTTGCAGATCCTTCAGCTGATGATTTGTCTTGGTTTGCTTGAGTTGCTGCATTCAGTAGTGCTTCCTCCCTGAAATCTCTCTTTGGAACCCATATTTGTTTTTTCTTGTACACCTTGGTGTTTTAGGGATTAAGTGATGATGGAAGAAGGCTTACTTGAGCTC